CTTTTCAGCAAGCAGCTGATTATACAGTAAGGCAAACAACTACTCTGGCAATGCTGCATGCCAATCAGTCTTTGTAGGTTGGAGGCAGAAATGCAGAGGGCCATTTAAAGAAGAGCCTGGGAGCCCAGCGAGGCTGAGGCGCAAAGTCCTCTTAGGATTGAAACTGGTGGAATGCGCTTCACCAGCTTGGATAAACAGAAGAGGAATTCTAATGAGGCCAACCTCAACTGAGTCATGGAATTGCATTGTTCTGGCAACCCCAGACTAATCAGCTCTCTCATCCCCCTGCCCAAAGGCTTTTTGTGTGGCCTTGTCTCTCCCGTGGTAGACGTTGCTGGAAACTTACCAGGAAGCCTGCAAGATACAAGAGAGCTCAAATTCAAAACGGTTTGGGAAGGAGGTGGGGGAAGCCTGGAATGGAACTAAGAGTTGAGCACAACACTAAACATTTTTCTGATTGAGAGTCATTCCTGTACTATGACAAGTACAAAAAGCACAAGAATAGGCACATGTTTTGAACTACATCTCTCACTATCTTCTGCCCTGGACTGTACAGATCCAATGAGAACTGAAATCCGAAGTATTTGAAGGATACTCATGAAATATAAAATGAAAGTTTATCTCTCCTAACCTCAAGGGTGGTTTGTTAAGATAAAGCTGGAATAAAAAATAAAACCAGCTGTCTCATTTAATGTATCAGCAACTACTTAATTCATTCATACCGTTCATACAATAGGACTCGTATCTGAAAAAACTAGTTTCTTCATGGGAAATTGTATGGTACAGAGTTTGATAATGTCTCTTTTCTTCATATCTGGCAAGTGGAAACAACACAGGAAAATGAGAGAAATGAAAAGATCTTGCTTCAGATCCATATTTTACATTTTTTGCTCCTTCATTTGAAAATGGACATCAGTAAATGTACAGAAAAATTTTCTGTGCTATACTTTTGGTAGTGTTTGAATGAGAAACAGTTATCTGCATACTGAACACCTACTTTAGATTTCATTCAGGTATCCCAATACCTGAAAAAGATTTTACTCTCGAACTAAAGCCACTCTTAAACTAAGGCTACAGAACACTCAAAAATGTTAACAGCCCTTGAGAAAACTGATTCCAAGTTGAAAAGCAATAGAAATTGCATACGTGCATCTACACACAACTACAGGGAGTAGTCAACAACACCAAGCTTAAGCCTGAGCAAATGCAATTTTTTTTGCCACGGGAAAACTACTGAAATGTTCTCCACAACTAGTCCAAGCTGATAGAAGAGCATCAGTTCCTTCTATCAGCATCTGCTTGACCTCTGCCAGAAGAGGGTGCTTCTATGGGTATTTTGGTCTAATCCTGCAGGACTCTGCTTATGGTTTAACCTTTAAGTTTTAACTGAGAGTCACTTTGGGGTCGCAGATAAGGCACAAAGGCAGCTGGGTGATCTTGGGACAGCCCTAGGAAGGAGGCAAAGGCAAACCATTTCTGAAGAACTTTGCCAAGAAAACTGCAGGGACTTGTCCAGGCAGTCTTTGATAATTGGATATGACTGAAGAGAAGAAAAAAAGTTTTACTTATAGATTTGCTGCTGAAACAGATTTCCTCAAGCTCCTGAAAGTTGCCACCAGGATTCCAGCAACACTGGTTTTATTAATCAATCAAGATAAAGTTTGTTGCACTGAAGCAAGCCATGGCTTTTGTCACCATGATAAATCTTTATTACAGCATTCATGAATTTGCTCAATAGAAACAACAGTAACAGTACAATAGAATTGGAAGGGACCTGGGGGTCCCTTTGTCAAACACAATGGTGCTAGATCTTATCAACAGGAACTACAGAGAATGATCAAGCAACAGCAAAACTATGAGATTACCAATGAGATCACCAAGATGATAAGCAATGGAGATGAGGGTGTCATGGAAGAGAGAGATATTTGGGGGGAGGGGGTAGATAAAACATTGTTCAGAATCAAGCACAAAGAAGGGGGGGGGTCCTTTTATCCTTTATGATGGCAGTGCTTCCTTCCTTCCTGCTGTTTCAAACAGCAGGCAAATTAATAAAGTATTTCATATTTTTCAGATGAGATCACCTAAAAGAGACAGCCCTGCTCTCTTCTTTTAATCCCTCTTCTAAGCTTATTTTTCCTTTGATAATTTTGATTTAGACCTCCTTAGAGCAACTTACAATGTGATCAGATCACTCTTTTGCTAGTGGGGATTAATGTTCAATGAAGCCATGATGCTGACTTGTCAAAATAGGAAAAATAATTAAATATTCCTGACTGGCTACATAATAAAAATTAGAACAAAAAATTAAACCTCTGGACTCCAAGTGCTAAATGTTTCATACTGAACCAGAAAGGAACTACATGTCCAGGGAGAGTGAAGGGAGGGCCAGGGAACACTGCTCCAATATGCTTCACTTCATATTCTACAGATGATGGATTCCTCTTTGGAAATTGCTCTGGTTCTCACCAGTTCCTTTAGGCTTCTTGTTAGCAATGTTAATTGCAGCAGCAGCTGCTACTCATAACATCAGTGCATTTGAGAGGTTTCCTTGATTCGGCACTGGAAGAAGACTTAGCATATTCTGGACCATAAAGGCTGGACACAACCTTAACTCAAAAGATCTAGTTAACAAATGGAAAGAACCCCGAACCTGCCTCTCCCTTGCATCATCTCTAAGTACTATGGAGCTGTTATGTAAGTCTAAGTGCTTTTGCTAAACGCAGCCTCTCTAGTGATTTGAATCCGAGGCCACAGACTGGGATGGAAAAAACAAATCTGGTCCACTCCTTTTTATGAATAATCAAGGAACACAGCAACTATCTGGGAAATGAATTCCTTGCATCTACTGTACACTGTGGATGCTCCCTTGACTGGGAATATTTTTGCTCTCTTGCCGAAAGTAGAACATCAGTATCTTTCCACAACTTAATTAAAGCAAAGCATTACAAGAGGTGAAGAATGCCAGACCTCTTTAACCAACACTTGGGCCTTTTTGAAATAAAGAGAAGGTCCATTTGGTAATATAGGACAATATCAGAAGGGCAAACCAACAAGCAACTCAGAAAATCTTACAGGATTTGTTTCACATCAGATTCCCTAAGGACCAATACCTCAGCAACCAGACTCCGCCAACAAGGCAGCTTTTAAAACCATGGTGGGCTTGCCACGACTAGCACAGCCAAAGCCTCTTCCAAAGTCCTTCCCATTATGTCTCCGCTGAAGCAGAATGTTCCTGGAGCATCTTGTGAATAGAACTGGAGAGCCGTCTTTCCACTTCGTTGACCTGGTTAATGCAATCGCCATGATACAATTCCAATGTTCAGATTTCCTAACGGAGTAGAGCTGCTGGGGGGGGGGGGGGGAAGACACCATGAATTTAGATTTCCTGCTTCAGACACTCAAGCAATACTTTGATTCATCTAACCTGAATGGCAAGGTCAGGTTCTCAGAAGTTGAGGAAAGCAAGCAGGAAATGGCTAGAATTCACAAAAATCAACTAAGCTTTTGGTTTCTCTGACAATGCTGTAGACCTCCCTCTCCTACTCTATTCTGAATTACCCAATCCTTGACACCCATTCCCCACACAGGCAGGATAATCTAATTCCCTCCACTTCACAGTCAAAACACACATCAGCCCTTCTTCCTCTGCCCCACCCCGCAGTCCCCTTCCAGGAATGCATGAAGTGCAAGGCAATTTCCATAGCAACTAATTTCATTCCAAGAGACAAGCTGGCTTTGACTGGGGAGCAGACGTGTGTGTGTGTGTGTGTGTGTGTGTGTGTGTGTGTGTGTGTGTGTGTGTGT